TACATAATGAGAATGAAATTCCGTAGCTTCTTTTAAAAACGTCAGTCCTGGATGCGTTTCTACTACGTCTTGTACAAGAGGGATCAAGTCTTTCGGAAGTATACTGTTTCTATGTCCCCGAGTGATAATATTGATAAATTTACTAGCTGCATCGTGATGGGTAGCTGTTAATCTGTAAGGATAATTATAAAATTTGATTATTGCTTCATCCAATTTCCATTTCAATATGCAAACTCAATAACGCTACCTTTTGCTGATAGAGCTTGTGTAGCCATTCAGCAGCAGCTTCGTCTCCCTCTGGCACCTCCTCGATGGGAATTCTTTTAGCATACATACATATGTCCTTCTAACCGTTTCCCCAAGAGGAGATTCCTCATGGTCGGCTTTATGGGATCAGACGCTATCTGAATATCGTAGATGGTTGTCGCCTTGCCCCTCATGTGCGGAATACTGGCGGTGAAGCCCTTTGTGCGTGGCGTTAAATGATATGGCTTCCAGCTTTTTTGGCGTGAAGTGCGTACCCTCAGGATGGAGCAGCAACTATAATCAATCACTCAGCCGTTTTCACAACTATAAAGTTGTTACAAGCAACAACAACCGTGTATACGCGGAATATATCGCGCACCTGTATGGTGCGTTTCTATAATCCGGATTGAGCGAGACTTAATAAATTTCACAAACCTACGCCGTCGGCGGGCCATTGATGGGTGCGCAATAGGGATTGAAAGCGGGATAGACCACTCACTACGGATGACGAGGACTGATACTTGTGGAAATTTCGACTGTGCGTTGGTGCTCGCCGGCACGAGCCGCGCGGACCACACACACCTGATCGGTTAGGTTAGGATCTCAAGCGATGCTTAGTAGCCGCAGCGCGCGCAGACGCTGGCAAGATGGCGGCGGCGCAAGGAGCCGCGCGCTATTTAAATAGATTATTGCACGTTTACACAGTATACATTTGCTTGGAGTTATAATCTTTGTTTAGCGTCAGGAACAATTTCAGATTCACTAACAGCTCTACTTCGAGCAGCACTTATGGCACTTCCTGGAAAAGAATTATTAATCACAATAAGCATGGCAATTCACGTCTGTCTTCCCTGATGGAAAAATTTTACTGAAAACGTAATGACATTTGCTGAAATTTGCTTTTCAGTAATTTTTCATTAAAAAATTTATTTTCAGTTAAATTCTGCAAATTTCATAATATACAACATTTCTAAAATTTTTTCACTAATTTTTAGTAAAATTAATTAACTTTTCATCTAATTTCACAGTATTTCATTGAATTTCATAACGAAACTTATGATTTATTTTGAAATGGTTTCAACAATTAACTTTCATTTCACTTTTCATCAATTTCATTACATTTTCAGCAAAATTTTTCCATCAGGGGGTTGCCTAATATTTTTGCATTTGTATGACACATTTCCTAACCTATCAGGTCACATACTTTTTTTCGCGGCATGCAGCACGTGTTGGCTGCGGTCAAGCTGCCGCTACATTAAATGCTTCGAAGCGTTTCTCT